CCCCTCCCCCCCCCCCCCCCGTATCCCCCTGTCCCTGCCTGTTTTTGAAATTTTCTTAAATTACATGTTTTTACAATTATTGTTACCTTAGCAGTTATTCCCCACATTTTGCCAAAAGTTGATAATACATTAATTTTATATTCAGTAACAAAATTTTATTACCTTTTCTTATACTAAAAAGATCCCTAAGCTGTAAAATGTAAATTGGATCATTTCCAGAGTTATCGCCCAAAAAGTGGTCTAACATTTTAGACCAAAGATTGAGTTTACTTTGAAGCTGAATAAGTAACAGCCAAATTAAATGAAACATTGTGCCTGTTTTATAAGTATTAAGACATGACTTATGGTTCAGATTAATACTGTCGTAATACTTGATTTAAGTGGACTCCGTACTATAATAATAATAATGGATTTATTTTATACTTAAATAGACTTGATTATTTTCGAAAAAATTTTTAAATGTTTTGTAAGACTAATTACAGAAAACATTTTACAATAAACAGTAACCCAGAAAAAAAATTAAATATTGGAATGATAAATTGCTTTACTTTGTAATACCTGATTATAATTAGCACCACATCCATCTACTTTCATAAATTACATTTCAAAAAAGAAAAAAAAAAGTCTGAAAGTGGATCCTTAGACATACCTGCTATTGTGAATTAATTGCTACTGCCATCTAAAATTGACCTAACCGTGCAACAGGCACTGTCCTTTTTTACACAATTGGTCTTTTTTTCTGGTGCAACAATTACGAAACACCACAAGGTACATAACTTCATGTACTGACAGATGCTAGGGGACATAATTTATTGTGAGATGCCCTGCAGCAGCAGCAAAAAAAAAAAGAATACATAATTGCATCGGCAGATGATACCATTAACTGTTGGTAATTTGCAACAGATGTTGATCACTTATGATGTCATTGTCTAATGATGATGGGTTGGCCTTGGAGGGGAAGATTCTGCGACAAGGTCATGACAAGAAGGCATGCTTCCATGCACATGTACACATAAGCACACACACAAACATGCACGCCACCAGTTCAATTTACTTCTACCTAAATTGAAAAATGCTCACTTTGAACTCCCTCCAGCCAATTTAGTGGTGTGAACCATGTACAATTGATTTCGTTAATTTGGGTCAAATCTAAGGCGAATAATTCTTTGAACTGAACATTGGGAAGGTCGCAGGCAGTCCTAAGATCTAATTCATCTGGCCTTGTACATCAATACATGTACACATGCCATGTAGGCTTTTATCAAAAAAGAAATCCCTTAATTATACTATCGAGTAAAACTAGGTGTATCAATTGTACTATGATTCAGATCAACCAGCCAATGAGTCCTCAGGGACTTTTTTCAAGACGTGGGGTCTGGCATGCATGGATATAGATTAAGTTGTTGGCTCATTCAGACTTAAAGTTTAATCAGAGCTTTCAGAAGTCAGAGTTTTCAGGGCTTTCTTTGTGTATTCATAAGTATTCGTTTTGTGGCCTTGCAATGTTGCCTTCAATATAAAATGTTTAAATTCTTAAAAAAATTAAAATCCAGTTCTTACTTCACTGTGTCTCAGTGCAGTTTACAATAGATGACAACATTACTGGCATATAAAATTAATTTAAAATTAATATTCGTAAGATATTCTTTGAAAAATAAATACAAACAGAAGAAAAAAATGTCTGTTTCATATGTCCCAGAACCACCATTCTTCTACTTGACATGGAACGGGAAATGTCACCTGTTGACATGTTGCATCAGACTCAGAATCATTGTATATTTTCATAATAATAATAATAATAATAATAATAATGATAATAATAATAATAATATAGTATCAACATCTGGACCCAAAAATTATATTTATTTTTACTAATGATTATTCTTGATACATACAGCATATTTCATAGTGAAAATTAAAAGAAAGTACATGTTTCAATATTGCTTTTGGGGTCCAGACATTTCATGCAGTTGTAAAGGTTACTTTTCTAAATAAAAGGTGTTTGAAAAGGGTGAATTTTGAATTTGTCATCATTTATATAAGTTTATTCCATAGCTTTTCAGTATATCCATGTTTTGAACACTATTTTTTGTCACAAAGAACTTTAACAACTAAAATGTTTTTTTTTTCCCTTTAGTCATTTTATTTCCACTTTGGCATTTCATGGTGAAGTCTTGGAGCTCATCTTTTCTGTAGTGAATATGTACTGCATGCATGTGAATTCTGTCCTTCAAATTTTCATAGCTTTAATTGCATGTTAAATTGCTTTTTACTTTGTCTATTTCATGAAACTTGAAGCATTTGGGATAGAATTCTATTCATGGCAATTTATTTTAAGAAAGTTTGAACAATATATTGGCATGTTGATGTTTCTGGAAGTTAAAATCCTAAGAGATTTCTTTTCATTTAAGACTGGTCAGTGACATTCACTAAAGCATGACAACAAACATTCCTTGTATAGCGCATACGATGTATTCACTTTTTGTGATAATGATTATAGCCTCAAGTGAGTTCTTCCATCAATATTTAATGCTATGGAGTTTGAGTCAGGTGTGGTCCATTTGATCTAAGTGCTTTCCCCCAAAGGTGATTCTTCTAGCTGCAAAAGAGTTCAAGAGTACTATGTTCACGCATATTTTCCCAAGGTGCCCAGATCTTTATCCGTACAAAAGAACCAAATGGCCTCTGTACTCTCTGCAGCCTGGCCCTCTTCCATCCTTTATGGTACAAACATGGTTATTAATCTGCCTCCTTTTTTTGTAGGTATGAACATAGACATAATATTTCAGTCCAAAAGAAAATGTCAGGAACCATTTTTGCAGAAACTGTTTTTATTTTACCTAAATTAAACTTTGACAAGTAAATGATGAGCAATCTGAAAGTGATAGCATGTACCATAAAAAGCTTAATTTGTTTGAAAATTCAAAAAGAGACTGCGCATGCCTGTGAAATGACACGATGAAGTAAAAAGAAATTATGAAATATTAATTGTTTTTTGTTTTCTTTTTCACTTCAGGTCTGTGGAAGCAATGGCATTACATACCCTAATCTTTGCAAGCTTGAAAAAGAAAACTGTGAGCTGAAAAGAAGTGTTAAGGTGAACAAGTCACATGATGGCCACTGCCGTAAGTATGGTTTTTAAGACAGCGTTTTTAATTTAGATTGCTGAACAGAAAGAGAAATATCGAGTGGTATTGAAGACAGATAGAAGAAAAAGAGAAAAAAAATAAAGTTAGGTGAAAAGGGAAAAGGTCTGGTATTGTATTGTAATTGGAGGCATAATGGTTTATAACTGACTTACACTTATCCCCAGTTGCTTTATACTAGACCATTCATGTAATGGTATATATTAGTAAAATGTCAGGCCTTCCGCAAATTTGCAAGAAATTTGCTGCAGATTTGCCACAATTTTGCTTCAAACTGCAATTCCTTTTTGCAATTTAGCAGCAAATTTGCAGCATATTCAATTTTTTTGCAAACTTGTTGCCTAAAGTTTGCAGCAATATTGCTGCATACTTTTCATTTTGCTAAGACAGGGAGTGTTGATTGCCTTTGGATTACAGTAAGAGAAGAGGTGATATAGGTTATAGCGAGTGCTTATCCTCATTGTCTCGATTGATAGTTAAAAGGGTCTGATAGTTTTCATTTTTCTTGGAATAGAGACATATCTCTGGTTATTCGTTTGTCAGCATGTTGCACTGGTGCCAAAGATATGCCTAAATGACAAGAGTCATTGCATGGAAATCTACTAGACCATGAACTAACAGCTTAGTAACATTACAACATATTAAGTGGGTTCATCCAGTGATGTGCCTGAATGTTGAGAGTCATTGCGTATATAAAATCAACTAGCTTGAAATGGCACGCTGAAAACTGTCCTCGGGCATGTTCCAGCTTCGCAATTCTCGGCCCATCCCTGTTTTGCTTTCATGCAAATATCTCATCAGTGGTACGGTCACTCATGCATAGAATATTATCTCTTATTTCCAAGCAGTTTTGACACATTTTATACGTGAATGGCAGATTGGATTTGAAGATCAATGAATTACAGTCTCCAATGAAATATTGTTTTACTTGGAATGCCTTTTGTGTAATTGTTACCTAGCTCCTGGTAATACTTCAGTTATTATTAGTAAACAGTTATATGGTATATCTTATCTAAACTCTCTCTCTCTCACATAAACACACACACACACACAGTGTTCTTCTGACTACACAAAGTGGACATTTTTCATTCAAAGTTTTTATGCAGTTCTATCCACCCCCAATGCTTTTAGTACTCGTGACTCTTCTGGAAATCCCTTGCTGTCCCAGATGTAGATTTCCACTCTGATTCCGGCACTTAAACTCGGAGCCCTTACATTAAGGAACAGTGAATGTGGCAGAACATGAAATTGCAATCCTAGTAATGTTGAAAACTGAGTTATGAGTTAATACTAGAATTTGATTATCCTGTTGAAATTCTACCTTGGGAAATTAGTCAATATGAGAATACTTACTTTGTAGACTAAGGTTGAGATAGGTGATAAGATGTATAGGACGTACTACACATTATATATATATATATATATATATATATGATATCTTCATACCACAAAAGCAGATATCATATATATATATGATATCTTCACTACACAGAATGTAGCAAAGTCAAATCAAATGTCTATAATGCTTGTACATTCTGTTGTATATTTTTTGCAGTCGGATCCATTTTTTGATGTTTTTTTAATTTTTGAAGTATTGTATTGAGCTTACTGTATTGTAATATTCACATTTTTGAACGTAATGTGTCACTGCAATTTAACTTGATGGCTCTCTTATTCTGTATGATATATTTGGAGCATTCCCTTATGTGGCTCCCCCTGGGGACTGGCGAAGTTGAGAACCTGATTGATTTTGGTCTATTTGGGTGTTTTATAGAAGATAAAAGAAACAGTTGGAGCGGTTTTCCTTCCCTATCCAAAATAACACCCTGAAATAGATCCATCTTATTTGGGATTGTAATTAGATTTTGCAAAGTTTCTCTAGCTTACATTTCATTTAATCCCCACTGTGTGCACTTTTGGGAGCAGGGCTGGCTTTTAGCAAGTGAGAGAGAGAGAGAAAGAGAGAGAGTGAGAGAGAGAGAGAGTGCTAGTAAATTGATATTGAGTAGCATTTCTCAATTTATTTGTTTTACCGGGTATACTACATGGGTGATGGATATATGTGCTTTGACAGCAAAACAGCTTGATTTTCCAAGAGTTTTACTGTAGTGCCTCGATCTTTCAATTGAGGAAATTGTGAATTGTACAAATACTGTTATTTTTTTAATCATAAATTCTAAAAATTAACACATTCTTGTCGAGTTGTAGCAAAAAATTGATAAGCAGGCTACCTGATATTGGAAGCACATAGTGAAGGCACAAAAATTCTATACAGAATATTAATATTAATGATTTCATAGTTTATGTATCTGAAATATTGATAATATTTCCTATTGAAAAGATTAAGTCATTACCGTATGTGCTAGAGAATAGAACTGTAAAATATAACTAACATAAAGGTAAAGGATATATATGATTTAAAGTGAGTTTTACTTGTGGTTGTCTAGATATATTCCACTGGATACGTGAAGTTTTATCAGATTAATCCACGTCCTTCTCAAGGAAATGTAAATTTCATTTGCCTTTCAAATTGTCTGCTTGAACTCATTTGGGACTTCCTTGAAAGGGAGGCTGAAAAACTATATCACAAAGTACAGATAACAGGGGCCCAGTCTGTTTATTATGTGATGAAATGGAAGATTTGAGGAGTGAAAATTGACTACTGGTAATTTTTGTCCAGAAATTGCACTCTGACAGAAGGTCTATTTGGGAATTGCCTTAAATACACCAACAGTTTGAAGAAATGTCCACAGAATTACTCTCTGTGAGAATATATTTTCTCTGGGAACTTCTTTCTCATCACAGTAATGTAACCTTTCCAGGAACTGCACTCTTTAAGTATGTCTTTTAGGGAATTTGTCTTTCAGGGAGATAATTATTAACTGATTGGGTATTTGGTTTGCCCTATTGTATGATGATTGAATTATAATGCTAAGTCAACACAGTTGTTTTCATTATATCTGTTGCCAACTACACTAATTGGAATGATCTGGTAGCTAAACAATTGCAAAGCCATGAGTTGGTCAAACTAACCTTTATTCCTGCAAAGTTCATTGCAGAAAAGATAGTTAAATGGTTTTATAATAACAATACCAAAGGTAAGTTTTTTTTTGTAAAAAAAGGCTATACTCTTTTACTTCTTTTAATGTGCCCCATCTTCAAATTGGGACTACAAATATTTTAATTGTCTTTGTCTTTATAAGTAATAAGATTCAAAGTTTTTGGCATCCTTTTCCAAACTCTAGAAATGAAATTTTCTTAAAAGAAATGAAAAATATATTATCTTCACCAGTTTATGATTTATATGACCCAGCAGTTTAAGACAATTTATTGGATGAAGAGACATTTATAGGGATACAGTGTTCTTTTGGCTCCATGAAAACAATTCGATGGAAATTAGGGTTTTGTTTGAAAGCAATTTTGCATGTAGAATACCTTGCACACAAGGCAAAAAACATCAAAATATGTCTGTTGCATGATTACATGTAACTTGATGATAATTAATTATTTGTATTTTTAAGCATTGCAAAATTTTTCTTTAAGAAATGGGTAGAGAAAAGGGGACAGTGTCATGCTTATGCATCATGAAAGGATGCTCAGTATTACACTTTCCCTCAAAAAACTGATATTTAACAAAATTTCTGGGTGTAAACTGTATTTTCCTTTAACTGACCAACCTTTGGTCCTCCTTGTGTGATGCTTGCCCTATCTATTAAAAACCTGGAAATATGCAAAAAAGTCCTTAACCCAGGCTTAAGCATAGATTTCAAATTCCACCATCATTTGGAGCTCTGACCTCCCTGTCTTAAAAGCAATTCAAAACTTTTTCAATATGGTAAACAGGCGGCAAGGTTTTATGGAGGCAATAAATTAGGTTATCTTATATCGTTTAATAATGTCATGACTTTTTAAAATCTTACACCATGTCCCTTTAGTAAAGTATAACACCCCTTTCTGAAAAAGTGATGCCCATCTTGCATCTGTCATTCACTGTTCAAGCAATGATTGAGATATTTGCCAATTTTCAGTACTTAAGTATCCTTGCAAATAAATAGCTGTAAGGGTTGCATGAAAACACGTAACCTGATAATAATTTGTTGATATATCTAAGGGGGGTTATTTCGTGTTGGATTCAAGGGACATATTCTGATGTTTTTTAAGTACTTGACTCAACTTCCAGGCTGTACTTTCTGGTGTAATCATGCTTTCATGTTTTCACTCTCCTCCCAGGTAAATGTTAATAATGATGAAACGCTTTTGCAAAATTGATGAATAGATAAATAAAATGGCCATGCACCAGCTCAAAGGGAGGTTAGATAACTTGGATATGATATGTGAAAAATGATATTTTGCATGGCACAAGGGACTTTTATTCATTCGGGGAAATTTCAGTTTTCATGACTTGAGTCTTTTTCTTTTTATGTATTATATATTGTATGCCTAGATCCAATCACCGAGCATTTAACAAAATGAAACTATGAATATTTCTGTGGTTCATTGTGAATTAATAAAATGGTTCTCTGATCTCTTTTAGTGTAATTAAACCTGAATAAGCCAAACCACAGCTGCACGACTTGGCAGAAAGCCAAGTCTTTCAGTTGGAACAGTTAGTATTTAGTGTCAAAAACGGATAGAAATGAAAAAATATTATTTTCATCTCAAAATTTGAGAAAACAAACAGTAAAACATGATTATATTGGAGGTAATATTTTGTAAATATAACTGAAGTTTTTGGCTCTAAAAGGGATCATATGTAATCATTTTATTGTGCAAGATTATTTTAATGTGTTTGTGTTCATTGGTTTTATAGTGATTCCCACTACAGTCTTCAGTTTACATGATGAGGGATATCAGACCACCACCCCTCCACCCCTAGGTATTTTTTTATCATTTCACTAGCACAACTGTCACCTTTCCATTGAAATTTGTCACTGTGTGTGTTTCCACATTGAGGATTGCCATGCTCATGTTGTGATCTTGATAGGTATTTGATTGGGGTGTCCCTTTTGTCACTATAACATGCATGAGTTCATCATCGTGTCATATTTTTGTTGCTTTATCACATTGTTACCATAACTAAACATTTTTGTCACCTTATCACATTTATCCACATATCACATTTGTCACCATGTTATGTATTTGTCACTACATCATGTTTGTCGCCATGTCATATTTTTGTCACTATGTCACATTTATCACAGTGTCACATTTTTATAGAATGTCACATCTTCTTGCCACCCATCACATGTGGTAACTTGGTATTTTAATAGCAAAGTGTGTCTTATCAAAATAGTGTAGGTTAATCTGTGACATTGGATTTGCTGTGTCTTAACATTATTGGTTAGTACAGGGCAATAATCAACTTTTTGAACAAATTTCTAGGAGTAAATAAATTGTGTACAGTAGCAACTTTAGTAAGAGCTTTTCAAACTGTGACTGTGACAGGTATTTTTTTTCTACTAATAGGTATTTTCCCCAAATTTCATCATTGATCAAATGAAAGATGTGATCTTTCATGATTTCACATTTTTTAGTAGTCAGAACTGAATTCCACAAATATCCACCTCTATGGAGATGATGGAACCTGATGGAAAATATTATATTCAGCAGTGGGATTTCTGACAAAGACACAGTCACTGACAGTGATTATTTATTTAAAAGGTGGTTTCAGGCAAGGTGCACGGAAATAACTTTTTTGTTCTCTTTTCTTTTCTTTAGAGTTTCTCCAAAGTTTAAGAAAGTTGTTAGGCTATTATGTGGCACAAGTTAGCAAACACCTACTCACATAGGAAATGATATGCCATATTATCTAAAATCTTTAAGCATAGCTATGTTTTATGAATTGGCAAAATATTTCAAATATTTTATGTTGTTTACTTAAAATTTGCAAAGGCAACTGGAGCATTTTATAAAGATAAACGAAGGAAATACAGTATGTTGCATCCTTATCTTTGCTTTGGATTTGTTAAATGCCTGAAGGGAAAAATAAAACTATAGCCTTGATGATGCTACTGGAACAGCATTATTTTATTCAATTTATTTTATATAAAATATATGTGATAATATGATATGTATTTTTTACATTATAATTAATATGTTTGATAATATGATACATAATATTATGTTTAGTTATATGATATATATTTTGATCAGATATTTATTTTATAATGTCTTTTTTCTTACAGCTGGTTGTGGTCCTAACCCGGAGTGTGAGTTTAATTCTATCTGTGTGGCCGACAGCAGGGGCAATGCCAAATGTTTGTGTCAGGAGGACTGTCAGCAGGTCAGTACAAGACATATTTCTAGTCAAATTGGGCCTCTGCTTCTTATTACATGGCGTGTCCCTAGTCAAATTGGGCCTCTACTTTTTATTAAATGGCATGTATATTTCCTGAATGGAGGCTATTCAACTGGATAGCCACATACCCTGATGAAGATGCTCTGTTAGGGGCCACTCAGAATAGGTGTTCCAAGAACTAACTGATCCGCTAACTAAATATGGCCAACCCCACTTCAAAAGCGATGCCACTGATTTCCAATAGTCTACCCACCTCCACACGTGCTATTAAACAGATCAAATCTCAGCTCCGAGGTTTAATTGCTAGGCCCCTGCAGCGAAGGCGTGTACTATATACTTGTACTGTATATCAGCTGTACCAATTTAACTTCCATTCAAGCTTACTTTCTTTAATTTTTTTACAGACTACCAACAAAGTATGTGGCACAGACGGCATAACTTACAACAATGAGTGTGAACTTCAGTTGGAATCTTGTCGAAAGAGGACACCAATACATGTCCGTAGGCAGGGCGCATGTGGTAAGTTCTCACCATAATTTTTGCACCATTTCCAATTGCTCATTGTTGTGTATTTTAACAAATTTTTTAAGCATTTTACAGAAGCATGTGTGTAATGGGGACTGATGACCATGTGTACATGGCATATTTCACATTCTTATTGGTAGTTTCTTTTTTTTACATAAAAAAGTGTTGAAATTGAAAGTTGGCAGTCAATCTCTGCATGTAGGTTCCCATTCATGTCCATTGGTTGTTACGGTGTGGAATTAGTGGCAAAATTTGCTTGTGAATGTGTAACTCACATGAAAGTTATATATCATGACAATACAATGACATTTTGTTTATTGGAGGTGCATATTGATAATTATTGTACATGACATATAAGAATAAATGCATCATCATTTTGTTTAATTTGCTTGGATGGAATCAATTTGACCAACCCAATAGTAGTAGTAGTAGATATAGTATTTGTCCATATGATATATGTGTTGCTGTTTGTTGCGTTGAATAGTTGTAAAACGAAGTTTGGTATTGTATGTTTTGTTAGATATTGTATTTATTTTGGTAGATTAGAAATAATGCATCATGTTGTGATGTTCACGGGAATCAATGGAAGACTGTCACAGTGCTGTCTTTTCAGAAAAACACTTTTAATGTGCTGATTTTTTAAAATGTTTTTTTTTTCCATAAATTAATGTGCTGATTTTTTAAAATGTTTTTTTTTTCATAAATTCAAATCAATTTGAACAGTTTCAAGCCAATCCATCCTAACACCACCTTTTAACATAGTTGTATTTAACACAGTTCAGTTAAACAGAAGTCTCATATTAGTCTAAAAACAATTATTACCAAATTATTCATCTTGCGCTCCCAGAAACTAGTGAAGGAATGATAGGTAACTTAATATGCTTTGTATTGATGTATGTCATATTCAGGTATGCCAGCAAAATTGTTCATAGAAATGTGTTTGTCTTTTGGCCTGACAACAGAAGAATTATGGTGCATTCACAATAAAGCTATTGTACTAGGCACTTCAAACTTACTCCGTGGGGACTCTTGCTGAATACAATCAGATTAAAAGTATTACACCTTTACCTGGCAATGTAGTAGAATACAGAAAAGGTGATCATTATACATATGTTCAGACAAGAGACAGCATGTTAATCTGTCAATTTGATGTCAATTTTGATTGCATTCAGAAACAGTCCCTGCAGAGTTAGTTTGATCTAACTATTCTGATAGTTTCATTGTAAATACACACTTATATATGAATAACAGGGGCGGATCCAGAGATATTTTGTGACAGGCTTCAGAATTATCTTTATTGATCCACTTTCCACTTTTGACAGTCTTCCGACAGAAAAAATTAGATACCCGTCATTGTAAACTTGAAAATCTGATCGTCTTCCAGAAGACCCAGAAGTCGGCCTAAATCCGCCTCTGAAAAAGAACCAAAAGAACCAAAAGAATATTTAGAATACACAGGAATGGACAGTGTTGGCAAACTTGTATGTGTGCATGGGTGTATGTGTGTGTGTGTATATGTGTATGTGTTATGTTCACTTTATTAATGTGATTTTATTTCATTTTCATTCACAGAATAATTTAGAAATGGTTTATGACAGTAAGTTTAGGGGATTGACCAGCACACTAGAATCAAGGAAAAATTAATTTTTTACTGTTTCAGTAGGAATCTCCTTGTTAAGAGCTGAAATTTTTTTAACAAATAAAAATATTAAATTGGACAGACAAATGAGAAGACAATGAATCACAAAATATAGGCACAACTTTTGTTTGTGAAATTTCATCTAGAATTTTTTGTGGTCTAGCTATGTGTGCAAATTTTCATTTAAAATTGGGTTGCATGCGTTGGGTTTACTTTGACCTAAACATCAAATAATAGAGCAGTTTGGGGGTTTCACTCATGACACAATGCACATTTTGATTTAAAGCATGTAGCATGCTGCAATTGACCGCTGTTAAGAGCATGCTTTTTTTTTTAAGTAGGACGCAGGCTTTCTAGCCTACCTGAGAACTGGGGTAAAACCTCAAAAATTACTTCCCCTTTTCTCAGTCAGGGACTTCTAAAAAGTTTTTCAAATCAGAAAAGAATCAGCAAATTTTTGTTTGGTCAGACTTTCTCAGCTTTTGACCATACCAAACAACAATTGTTTATGTCTTAGGGCCTACAAGAGCTGTGTATTGAAGATGTTTAAAGCAAGAAATAGGTCTAAATCTTGATTTTAAATTATTCACTCCCATCAGGGTCATATCAGAGAAAGATCGGGAGCTTTGTCTCGGTAAAATGTTTGGAACCCTGGGAAAGGGATGTTGTACGCATTATTGTTCATATATTATTGATGTTGTACTTAGTGGTTGAAGATCTGGTTAGCTTGAAATTTCTCTCTCTCTCTCTCTCTCTCTCTCTCTCTCTCTCTCTCTCTCTCTCAAATTATTCAACTGGATATTTATAATTCTATTGTGTTGCATGAAATGTATGTATGTATGATTATATATGATTATGACATCCACACCCAGAAAGACTAACTGGGTAATTCAATTGTAATGCTTTGAGTTACATTACATCAAAGTAAACATAAAATTTGTAAACTGGAGTATTTTATTATGTAAGGATTATTTTGTTGTGTTTGTGGATGCTGGGAAGATGATACACCGTCATTTTATATCTCATAAGTTGCCAAAAAAAAATTATAATAATTTATATCCTTTTTGATTCAACCTCTTACAATTGATCCCCAAACCTTCAGAATACATGTGTTTTTTCCTCTTATATTTTTTAATCTTGCTCATTTGATTTGCTTACTTTATCTACTGGAATGCATGATTCACATTTCAATTGTCTTTTATTTATTTTTCAAAATTGAATAAAATGAATGAATGAAATGTGAGTAAAATACTTGAAATTTCAATATATTTTCTGTAATTCATGTCAGAAGGGCTTAATGACATTTTAAGAATATGTTTCTTCTCCATTTTATTTTATTCTGTCATTTAAGTTACCATTGCTTACATGTATTTCATATTTTACTTTCTGAATTTTATCATCTCAGTTATTATAATTTAGGATTTTGTGGGCAGTATCAAGTTTATTTATGATTGAAAAGAAATATGTTTATTGTTATGTGCTGTAACCAACTGGTACTGAAAAAGTTGTCATGTTTTCAGCTCTTATCTTTGTTCAGATTATAATTCCTCTGACATGCCCCATAGTTTACACATACAGCACGAACAAGAGCCTTACTCAGCATAATAAATAATTATTATATTTAGAACCCTGGTGCTCCTCCAAACCATATAAACATGAACTGGAAATTGTCCATTTTGTCAATGGACAATGAAATTGCTTGTTATTTGATTTCAAAAGGTGTATTTAGAGTCAATTTAAGTAGGTCCATCTTAAGTCAACCCATCTTAGCCACTTGATTTAGTGTATTGCTTTATCATAGACAGCTAACTTGATCTAATTGTAAGTAAGCTGTGGATGGTTCCTAGCAATGGGCATATATGGGACCATCCAGATCGAGAAGAGCCGAGTGCTAGCTAGGCCACGAACTAAATATGGGGGACCTACATGAAAGGAAGTAATTAAATCTCGGCTCAATTCAACCGGTGGAGAATCGACGTGTGGGGAGGCGTGTGAGAGGCAGAGAGACCATTACAGGATTAAGCGGTCTTCCTTTCATGTAGGTCCGCCATATTTAGTTTGCGTCCTTGCTAGCACTCAGCCCTTCTCGATCTGAATGGTCCTTATGACATAAACAAGAGAAGAGAAGGAATGTATTTGCTGTGAATCACATGGAGGCAGCACACACTCCCTGTATTTTCTGGTTTTCTTATATTTGTAAACTGGACAATTTCTGGTTGAAGTTTGTATGGTTGCTTTGTCGTCAACTTTCTGGAAATTAATTTTTACAGGATTTCCAATGTCAGACCATTGTTATTAACCAATTTCATATAATTATCACATTGTTTGGATGTGGAAAGCTGCATATATTGTTTTCAACACTGAATGCAGTTTTCACTAAGGTTCACTGAAGTAGTACTGAAATACTTTCACCTATGTACTTTCATATGCATCCCACACTGTCTCAACCAAGCACACTCAAATGTCACATCTAACACACTTCCACACCTTGCATCTTACAATGATCTGATCCTATGTCTTTTCACTACCATATCTTGCTAGTTTTACTGAATGGAATGAAAGGAATTAGCTTTTATGATTCTTCATCTTTTCACAACCAAATCTTGCTCATTTTATTTACTGGAATGAATGGCAATGATGAGAAAACTAAGAGGTGTTGTGAAACTTTTATTTCTTTCTTGTCGCTTTCTCTCTTTGTCCATGCAGCCGCTGATGTCTCACCTTCCGCATCTAATCTGACCTCTACCGTCACCTCTCGTCCATCGATACAGCCAGGGGATTTAAAGAATCCACAACTGACTGACTTTATCCCAAGAACAATTTACAATGTTTGGCAGTTATTGGAGAAAAGTAATATCATCTTTTGATTATAGTACCTACCATAGATGCCTTTAGTTATTCTTGAATGTTTTTATCACTTAGTCCAACCCCCTGCAAAGTATTACGAGTTGCTTGCTTTGTGTGATGAAGTCTAAGTGAGAAAAGTGAAGTGACATTAGGTGCCAAAATGTTTACCTTTTTTGTGGGTAAAAATGTTAGTTGACACATGATTATCAAGCAAGATGTTTGTGATGTCTATGGGGCTAGAAGTGAAGTGAATTTTTATCAGTATTGAAGTAAAAGCTCAATTTTTTGTTGGTGAAAAATATCTTTTGATTAATTATGGCACTGTCTTTTTTGTCTGATTATACTTTTTAAATAAAGATTAAGAACAAACAAACTAGCAAATGAATATCAAAACTATTCATAATTCTTCAGACGATCATTTGCCAAAAAAATTTCGAAAAGAAAAACAGCATAAGGATAGCCAAAATTTTGGATTTAAACCCAGAATGAGACATCTTTTTTCAAGTTT